ACATACATGCACACACACATCCAAGTATACAGACTCTGAGAGACTTGTGCGGTATATCACAGTAGGGGAATACAAACAGGCAATGTTTTATGGGGGGGAAAAAAACTTGAACATTTGGTTACAATTCTCTGGGCATAGATAATGCTCTTGTTTGACCATCTGCAGTTTCCATTTTAAATGGGGTACCTGAGCACAATCAGCAATAATACCACTGGTGGAATTTCTTCATTGCATTACTTCATCAACTGTTATCCTCTCTATGACATAAGCGTGTGAAGAAACATAAGATAGTCCCTTGCCTAGAGGAAAGCATCTCACTTTCAGATCGCCATGTATGTGTCACCTTTGAGTCCTGCCCTCCACAATGTCAATCCTGCTCTTTTCTCTGCTATATCAAGCATATGTGAACTCCAAATAAGCATACATAATAAAAGTAAACATAACGTGCACATATACAGGCAGATTCTTCTGCAATATCCAGGACCACTTTGCTTAAAAACCATTCCCCTTTCCCTAATAATATTAAACATACAGTTTTGTGGGCAGGTAGGCTGCAGTATCATCTTTGCTCTTGATGATGTCATTACACTTGTCAAGCGTCTGAAAAACAGTAAATGTGTCCCCAATGCTGTAGAGAGCAGCAAGATTTTTTGCTAGTAGTTTTCGCGTAGGTGGCCCAGGGGAACTGCTGATGAGTCCTGTTAGCTGTTCTACAAGTTTCTTCTGTTTCTCCTTGACATCTGTCTGTTAATGGACCAAAAATAAGTAAAATAAGGAAAGTCATTTAATCCTGTGTCTTGCCTCCAACACCCAGAAAAACCTACAAGAGATTGAAGTGAATCTTATACCACTCCCACTTGTATGTAATTCAGCAAATTGCTCGTCTCACAGAGATTTGAAATACATTCAATAATAGGAGAGACAGATGCTAAATGCTCAGAATTAGCTGTTACCCTATTTAATTTTTACTTTTTTAAAATACTGACTAAAAATACAGTAATACCTGCCTAGAACATCTTTTAATCCTCTTTACCATCAAGAATCCCTACTCTGGGAAGGAAGGTTTTGCCTTCCAAATATTTACAACAACGAAGAACTCAAACCAAGCTATGTGTTATATAACAGAGTCATACTGGCTGCCTACCATTGAACACTTAAAAGCTACAAACGAATACAGAGGCTCTTCAGGCTGAATCCGAAATCATACAGTTATCACCTGACCATTACCTGTCAACTTTCTCTAGCATGAAATTAATACAAATGTTTTAGAAAGAAGGGGAAAAGAAAGGGGGAAAAAAACATTAAATTACCTTGTTAGCAGCTACCAGCACTTTATCCAAAAATCTTAACCACTCAAAGATAAAGACTGGTCTCTTTGCTTCTGTGATTTGAGCTAATGCTTCCTCGTTCAGTAACAAACTATGAGCCAGCTCCATAACTGGTTAAATTCTGGTTTTATTGTAAATTTGTGTAGCAACTCTAAAATAAAAATGTAAATATTAGTATAAAGTATAGTACAACAGTACAAAGTTTTGAAAATCAAATGAAAATATGAAGATGAAATCTATAGATTACAGTATCATGGTTCCAGCCTGCTTAGACTTGTCTTAGCTAAGCAGTCCCACATAAAAACTACTCACATATTTACAACTGAGTACATCCATTAGTATTTCAGGGAAAAGAGATGTTAATTGTAGAAAGAGCACCTACAGGCAACTTCAGGGTGCTAGCTCTTAGCCAAGAAAAATACACTGAACTCTCTGTTTAAAGAAAAAAACCACACACACACAAAAGAGGTAAAGGAGTCATCTCACTGTCTCCTCTTACATAAAACAGAACAAGGATTGTCCCTAATCAAGACCCTTGACCACACTCCCAAAGCTTGGGCATGAACCTGGCCACCTTCTCAACACCTTCAACAGACAAAGTGAGAAGGAGATGAGCCTATCACAAGTAGGAATTTCCACCCATCACAAATCTGAGAGAGGCAAGAACATTGACAGCATTTGGCATCACTGACCTAAGACTTCCCAGATCCCACCAGCCTTGCTTTGAGTACTGGACAAATAAGCCCTCTGAAACCCAGCAAGCCTTGTGTGTGACAGGCTGGAATACAAACAGCAGCCAAATGACTGCAAGTCTCCCCAGCAGGCAAAATACTACAGATCAAACACTGGAAATCCTTCGCAAACAGTGAGTGGGGGGTAGCAACAAAGCACTACCAAAACCACACTATCAATGTAAGCAAACACTCTGCAGACAACTTAACCTTAGCAAACCACATCTGAACAAAGTGTAGCTGTTTAATGCAGAACAGATAGAAAAAACGAAAACTTATCTAAAAATCACAAAACTAAGTCGACCATCATCAGCAAAAAGAAACCCAAAAAGCAAAAAATCCCAACCCCAAAACCTGAATGCAGTGATGCTGAAACTAGGATCTCAGGCAAAACAGAAAAAGCAAAGCAAAACAGAAAAAGCAACTAAGGAGTATTATGTAAGACATCATCTTTCGACAGCTGCACCATTCCACTTGTGCTCTCAAGTGCCCACAGCTGCTTCCTCATTCGTGGTCACACCCAACAAATTCTTGAAGTCAAATGAAGTGATTTAAATTAAATACTTTTAATTTTTTTTAAAACAGTCCCCAGATTAGACAGTAGTAAAGAGTGACATATTAATACTACAACTATATTATGGTTCTAAATTCACCTTAATGATTTGGTGCTGGTGAAACTAAAGCATCACAATGTCTGTAATACTAAGCTTGTTCCCTGCTCTTTGGTACTTTGCATTATAATATTTTTCACTGCATACATCTCCAGCGACAGATTGGCAAAGGTGGAAGAACCACATATGGAAGCACATACAGCCCTCCCCTAACACCTCCAAAGATATCTTCCGGCTTTTTTTTTTTTTAAAGTTATTAAGAATTGAGGAGCTGTCAATAATGCACAGGAACATCACTTCAAAACACCTTTACATGAGAGCAGAGAGAAACACCATGAATGACAGCACTATGATTCTTTGGATCTACACTGCTCGTCACACCTGCACAGCACAGGAGTACCGCCTGACAGCACATTACTCCTTTTCCTCCCCAGATAAAAGTTTTAATTTTCCCCTGGCCTTCAGAGCCATGAACTCCTTATACGCCTTCCACATGCTCCCTTACCTCTTCATCTAAGTTTAGGAAACACAAGCTCTGAGCTACCAAATCTGCACAGACATTCGGCTGTGCTGCTGAAGCACTAGGGATCGGATGCAAGAGCAATTACATGAATATTCAGCTAACTGAAGACTCAGAGTCTAACACACAGCTACGCAGACAGGCAATCCAAGGCTCACCTGCATTGGTCAAAGGTTTGCTCCAAAATCCAGCAAAAAAAAAAAATGCCTACCAAGTTCTACTGATTCTGGCAAGGGCTGGGTCTTACTGTGCACGTTACAAGTAATAAATACACCGTTATTGCCCACAGGATGCAGAGCAAGAACCTACCAAAGTCAACTAGCACCCAGTAAGTTATGTTGAAGCATTACAGAGATTATAAAACGTTCAGATGTACTAGAGTTCCTTTCTATTCTCCAGCTATTTTTCTGTAGCCTAACTCAACGACTTAGATCTTCATCACACACGCACTTCAGCAGACTAACCGAGAAAGCTGAAAAACGCACAAGTTTAGAAGTGACATCCTCCCAAAGAACTGAATCAGGTGAAAAGGACTTTGTGCCTGGGTCCTCCTTCTACCTGTATCGGTTACTTCAATACGCTGTAGCACCTCTCCCAGCACGTCTTGCCTGGTTCAAAAACCCCTCAAGAAGTAACGCCTCAAGACCGCACTACAGAGCTAGCTGTACACCCATTCCTCAGCAAAGGAATAATGCCAAAAACCAGCCAGAAGCGTGCTGCCTTCCACAAAGGACTTTGTGCCTGGGTCCTCCTTCTACCTGTATCGGTTACTTCAATACGCTGTAGCACCTCTCCCAGCACGTCTTGCCTGGTTCAAAAACCCCTCAAGAAGTAACGCCTCAAGACCGCACTACAGAGCTAGCTGTACACCCATTCCTCAGCAAAGGAATAATGCCAAAAACCAGCCAGAAGCGTGCTGCCTTCCACACACTCCCCCCCACCTCCGCCCATGGACGCACGTATGCATACCTGCCCGCCACAC